AAAGTTGAGCTAAATTCAAAGGATAGGCGATCTAAAATCCGAAGAAGCTTTGAAAGCTCTTTGAATTTAGCAGTAAGTACTGTCAAGCATCCGTTCAGTATAATGTTCTGGGGATGCTTTTCTTTTCATGGAACTGGTTTCTTAAAACCTATTGAAAAGACCCTCAGGAGCGAGCAGTACAAGAGAATTTTAGTCTTGTCTGCTCCCTTCTGCTGAAGGAATCGATCCCACCAAGCTCATTTTTATGCAGGATAATGCTCGTTGTTACAAATCAAAATTGATGAAGGAATACTTTAATGAGAAGCAGGTGAGTGCTATGACATGGCCACCCCAATCTCCTGACCTCAACCCCATAGAAAACTTATGGAGCATTATAAAGTTCAGGCTCTTGAGAAAGCAGTTGAGCAACAAAGAGGATTTGATTGTGAATTTCATATCCGAATGGAATTCAATGCTTGGAAATGAGATTTGCTAGAACCTAATCAAGTCAATGCCAAAAAGGACTGAAAAGGTTATTCAAAATTAAGGAGGACCCATAGATTATTAAATATTTCAAACTATATTACCTATTATAAATAAATTATACCTCTATTATTCTTTATTTAAATCTGTTTGGTTATGTTTCTATTGATTACTAGTTGCAGGAAATAAGTGAGTCACATTTTTTGCACAGAGTTTTTCCCTAAATCTCATTTGTATCCAAAATTATAATTATCAATAAAATACCTTAGGGTGAGTAAACTTTTTTACTAGGTGGTCGGGAAGGGGTCTTTATATTAGTAAGATTAAAAATTAGTTTGACCCCCAAAACAATAGGCGAAAAATTTTTAAGTAAAAAAATCAGGTGATTCACTTTTATGGAACAGAACTGTATATATCTGAATGAATAGCATAATTACAGATGGAATATATATATATATATATATATATATATATATATATATATATATATATATATATATCGCTAATTATGTCATTCATTCGTAATCTCCATACAATTAATTTACAATGTTAATTACTTCAATTTCCCGGGCTCTTTATCCATAATTACTTTTGAGAGAAGGTTACGAAGCGTATATATATTTCGATCCTGGCTTGAAGCAATCGCGTGTCTAGCCACACTGAAGAGCTGTGATACAGCGAAACAGTCTGTATGTGGATGATCTTATATATATATATATATATATATATATATATATATATATATACAGTGGTTGAATAAGTGATCTTACATATGAAAATATTTCATATTTTTATTTGTAACATATTAAACTAACAAAACGGGAATATATCCACTGTATCAGATTGCATACTAAAAATGTATGCATATAAAACTAAATAATATTTCATGGTTAAGAAAATATACCAATATTTAAATTTTTAGGGGTTTAAAAATGATCGTACAGCAGAACAAAATGTTTTCTCCAATTAATATTTTGTAGCAAAGCCTTTATTAAGTTCAACAGCAACCAATCTCTTCCTGTAGTCTTTAATTAACGATTCGCATACATTAGTAGTTGTTTTGTCCCATTCTTCCTGAGTAATTGTCTTCAGGTTTTTGATGTTTATTGGACCTTTATCACGGATCTTATTTTTCAAAAATCGCCATAAATTCTTTATTGGATTCAAATCCGGCGACTGACTGGGCGATTGTAAGATGTTAACGTTGTTATTAGCTAGCCAGTTCTTCGCACTCTTAGCAGTATGCTTGGGATCATTGTCCTGTTGGAAGATCCAATCAGAAGGAAGCCCAAGATTCTCTACAGAAAGCGATAAATTTTTGCTTAGAATTTGTTGATATTTTTCTGCATTCATTCTACCGTCTATAATTGCTAGTTTGCCAACACCTCGCATCGAAAATCAGCCCCAAACCATGATACTACCCCCACCAAATTTGACAGTTGGTGTTCTTGGGTGCGTATACTTCGCCGTCTTTCCGCCATATATGATTCAGGGAATTGCAACCGAACAACTCAATTTTACTCTCATCTGTCCAAAGAACTATTTCCCAATAAGAATTTTCCTTATCTTTATGCTCTGTCGCAAATTTCAACCTGGCATCTCTAGGCCGTTTCAGAAGGAGTGGTGTCTTTCTTGGGGAGCGCGGCTTTATACCATCTCTGCGTAGTTCATTACTAATCGTTTCCTTAGTTACGTTAACTCCTGATAAACTCAGATCATTCTGAAGGTCTTGTCTGGTGGCCATTGGGTTATTTTGAACCTGTCCCATTAACTTTCTTCGTAATCTGGGAGAGATCTTCCTGGGATCACCAGGTCTGCCTTTGTTCTCAACAGTATTACGTCTTTTAAATCTTGCAATAAATGAACGAATTGTTGAAAAAGGTATGTTCGTGTCACTGGAGATGTTTCTGTAACTTTTTCCATTGTTCCATAGCTTAATAATTAGCTCTTTTTGAGCACAAGTCATTTCCTTACGTCTAGCCATTATTAGAACCGTTATCAGTGAACAGTGACTGCAGAATGATCCAATTTTGAACTGAATGTTGCAATAGAGTTAATGAGAATATTCTAGAACAGTTCAGAATCTTCTACTTGGAAATACAACCAAAATCTACCGTATTATAATGAAAAAATTGATATTTTACGAACACTTTTTCCACTATTCGAAATATAAAAATTCGCATAACTATCACCTATCGATGAATTTCTAATTATAAATTGTCCAAAAATACATATAAACATTATTATTCAAGGTTTTCATTCGCTATAAGTGAGAATAACAAGCATCTGTTTTCTGTACGATCACTTATGCAACCCCACTGTGTGTGTGTGTATATATATATATATATATATATATATATATATATATATATATATATATATTGCTCAACTGCTTTCTCGAGAGCCTGTATTTTATAATGCTCCATAAGTTTTCTATGGGGTTGAGGTCAGGAGATTGGGGCGGCCATGTCATAAAACTCACCTGCTTCTCATTAAAGTATTCCTTCATCAATTTTGATTTGTGATAGGGAACATTATCCTGCATCAAAATGAGCTTGGTGGGGTCGATTTTCACCCTTTCAGCAAAATGGAGCAGACAAAACTCTAAAATTCTCTTGTACTGCTCACTCCTGAGGGTCTTTTCAATATGTTTTAAGAAACCAGTTCCATGAAAAGAAAAGCATCCCCAGAACATTATACTGAACGGATGCTTGACAGTACTTACTACGAAATTCAAAGAGCTTTCAAAGCTTCTTCTTCGGATTTTTAGATCGCTTATCCTTTAAATTTAGCTCAATTTTCGTTTCATCGGAGAAGAGAACATTTAGTAAAATAAATCACGTTAGTCACTTTATCGAACAGCACTATATATATATATATATATTTATATATATACATATATATATATACACGCACGCACGGAGAGCCGAGTTCCGAGTTTGAATTCCAGTCAAATCCATTACATTCACTTACGTGCTAATACCCTTGGGAAAGGTATGAATCCTCTTCTTCTCCCCCCAGCTATGGGTAAATAGCAGGACAGACTGGGTTCTATAGCCTTGGATGGCTGTTGGTCTAGGAGAGGGACAACTCTGAATTCAAAACCTGCGGAGGGTCGTTTGGGGACCTTGTGGCACTTAGTACACCAGGTCTCTGTATTCGGCTCTTCAAAAAGTGTGGATGGTCCTGCACGAAACCTTCACCACTATAATCAAATCTCATGTGCTGTTGTCGGGCCGTCGGTTTCCTGGGAACTGATCTACTTGACCCCCATACGTCGAATTCGACGGGAGAGTCGAGTATATCTATAACTATATATATTCAACCCCCACTGTATATATAACAAAAGGACAGCAGTTTCCCGTCTACTTCATTGGAGGGAATGAAAGTCAGACGCTTAAAATGCTTCAATCATGACCATTTAAAAATATTCGAGGGACATATTTATACTGTAAATTTCCAGTTTTATGAATTGTAATTCTTAGAATACGTTCGTCAACTTCCTCCTTGCAACGTCATTATAGATGCATTTCGTTCGTGCATATCTCTTCCGAAAATACATTCAGCATCTCTCATCAGCAGAAAGGAACAATGGAGTTCTTTGCCCCAAATGCAGTTCGGAAGAATTCTGTTTCCGTCAAAATCTTTCGGAATGATTCGAATAATTTCGTCTATTTCCGCCGGAGAAGCTTTCCTCGAATTTAGTTCAAGTGGGCATCGAAATTAAATTTTATGTTCGTAAAACGTTCTTGAATGTCATTTAAAATAGGTGGATAGTGAGAAGGGTACAGACGGTGTGGGTTGGGGCAGAGTAACAAGCGTACACGAACAGACACTCCCTCATTGATTCAAAATCATCATTATCGCCCCAGCAATTATTCGAAACATCCTCATCTTTGTTGTTTGTATTACATCTCGATTTACTTGGATTAACTTGGTATTTAGAGATTCTTGAAAAAATACAAGGACGAATCTGCAAAGTTATCGATCCTGACCTGGCATTTCGTCTTCACACAATTTCCCATCGCTGTAATCTAGCTTCCCTCTGCCTTTTCTATAAATATTTCATGGTAATTGTTCTAATGAACATTCCTCTATGGTACCTAGACTTTATGGATTTAAGTGCAGTACTAGATTGGCGGCAAGGTCCCATCAATTTGCAGTTGAAATGGCTAGATCTAACCGTAAGTTCTATGCTAACAGTTTCTTCTATCGCACTTCTCGCTTGTGGAACTCTCTTCCGGCTTCTTGCTTTCCAGTCAACTTTGATCTTCACAAATTTAAATGCAATATCAATCGTTATTTTCTCTCTGCATAATTCTGTTCTTTTATTAATCTCTCTCCTTAATAATGTTTACTTTTTCTTATATTCTTTCACAATCGGTGTTCTCTTGCGTCTTAGTGGCTTTATTGCCTTGCTTAAAGTGAAATGATTTAAAAAAACGGCTTGCACAAAAATTTCCTTCGTGTGCCAAAGATTAGGTAAGATAAATTCTAAATGGAATTTAATTTTAATCGATGTCACTCTATGCAAGGCACTAAAGCCACTAAGACGCAGGGTGTGGAAGAATTAGGAACAGAAACGTTACTAATAAGTCAGGAAGGGGAAAGAATAATCAGGAGGACAGTAGATAGCGATTGACATTGCATTTAAATTTTTGCAGACTGAATTTGGCTGGAAAGCATGCAGCCGGAAGGGAGTTTCACAAGCGAGAAGTGTGAGAAAGGAAACTATTAACATAGAACTCACGGTTACATCGAGCCAGCTCAACTATAAATTGATGAGATCTCGACGCCAGTTTAGTACTGTTTAGTACCTTTTTAATACATTCACCATAATACCGCAGTGTCTCTATGAACGTCTTAACTAGTCCCTATATGTATAATAACTAGTCCCTATATGTATATAATAGTTTGTGGTAGGAAATAGTCCCTATATGTATAGCCAGCTCAACTATATGGTAGGAAATAGTCCCTATATGTATAGCCAGCTCAACTATAAATTGATGAGATCTCGACGTAGGAAATAGTCCCTATATGTATAGCCAGCTCAACTATATGGTAGGAAATAGTCCCTATATGTATAGCCAGCTCAACTATAAATTGATGAGATCTCGACGCCAGTTTAGTACTGTTTAGTACCTTTTTAATACATTCACCATAATACCGCAGTGTCTCTATGAACGTCTTAACTAGTCCCTATATGTATAATAACTAGTCCCTATATGTATATAATAGTTTGTGGTAGGAAATAGTCCCTATATGTATATAAAAGTTTGTGGTAGGAAATTTAAAAATCTAACCCCAATGAATATTACCATAGCATAGAGCTCACCCTAACAATCACCATGAATGTAAAATGTGAAAAGGCAGAGGGAGGCAACATTACGGTGGTGGGAAAATGACTGAAACCGAGCTGCCAGATCAGGACCGTTACTATTGCTGATTCTTCTTTAGATTTTATCATATTTCGATTAATTCGACTGTCGAAAGGACCTGATATGGATGGTAATTCACGGGTGTCGCTGTGTTAATTTTTCGATAATCGTTCAGTTTGTAAAATACAGATTCAAAAATGTGATAAATCTCGTATATGCATAAAAAACAAAAACAAAATCGGGGTGAATACATTTAATTTTGTGATAAACTCTTATAAATATCAGCAGAAAGATAATGCCGTATCTCTCTAAACCTTTGCCTTTCCTTTTCTTTATTTTTCTTCCTTTTTTTCTTCTGTTAACTCCTTTTTTGGCCTCGTGGGGGACGGGGTTTTTCGATTTTCCGTGTTCCGTTCCGAGAAACAGTACACGGTCATTTGCCTCTACAAGTTAAATCCATTCAATTGTTCTTTATTAACTTTGCTCGTCTCCCAGAAACTGCTAACACCTTTTATCTGTAAAAGGCAAAATACCTCTCTCTGTCAGACAAACCAAACTTCTTAAATCACCACAAATCGGCTCCGAATTGCATCAGAAATTCAATACTATGAGGTTGTAACTTACTTTACCCCCATATAAGTTGAAAAATCACAAAATGTATGTCTTTAAACCACAGCAGCTCGCAAACCTTTATTTTTGACAGCTTTTGAGACCATCCGACTTAACCCTGTTTCTTTCCTTTTTTATCCTTTTTCCTACAAACTGTACAGGGCATCACGCATGACACTTAAAAAAAAACTAGGTTGGCATGTCTGTCCCACCGCTTTACCGTTGAAATAGTTAAATATAACCGCCAAATCTACTTCCACAGCTTCTTTTCTCGCACTTCCCGCCTGTGAAACTCCCTTCCATTTACTTTCTTCCCTGATATCTTCAAAAATTTAAATACAACTTTAATCGCCATATTCGGGTGTCTTGAAACCCTTTCATCTTTTATCCTTTCCTCATTGATCTTATAAACAGTTTTTTTTTTCTCTCACCTTCACTCTATGTAGCCCCCTGTGAGCCAGTGACACTCCCGTCTTGCTTGGGGCGAAATGGAAATTATATATATATATATATATATATATATATATATATATATATGTTATGGTCCGGTTCCTTGTACCATGGTGATAGTCCAAGGTAGAACCAATAAAGAAGAACTCGAACACAGATATGGAATAACACAGATATATTACAAACAGGAATATATACAGATAAGTAGAAAATGTTAGTATGAACAATCAGGTTTAGTAGAGAGAACAATGTCTCGACCAGTATCACTATTCCAATGTCTTGCAGTAATTGTCAGAACGCGACTCTGTTTCGGACTGCCTCTGACTCGACTCTTGACTCGACTTGAACTACTGACTCCACTTGAACGACTGATTCCCGAGGCGCAGTATTTATTAAGTATAGAATAGTCCATTATTATCATTATGGTAAGATCCCATAACAATATATATATATATATATATATATATATATATATATATATATATATATATATATGTTATGGTAATTTACCGACGAACGCATGGCCCCTCCCCGCCATAAATAGAAACAGGTACTGCCTTTTGAAGGGGAAAGTTTCCAGTAGTCAGCTCTGACCGAACATTCTTGCTGTAACACTCTTGTTTGTATATGTTTGTATTACTGTTTCTCATTATCAAATGGACAAAGTCCGACAATTATTTTAAGACATTTTTACGTTTATACATTCTTTTTATAGATACAAATATTTAAGTAAATGCTCTGTTTATAATAAACAGTATTAAACAAAATTTACTGGCCTGAATGTCTGAGAAATTTTCACAGAAAATATTCATCCTCCGACAGGATGCAAACCTGTATCCTATACGGAACCGTCATTTAGCTTGACGTGCCTTTACCGATTTGGCCACAGAGGAGCTTTCGGTTAGCAAGGTAGAATTTACTGTATTTAAACTTCAATCTTCTATGAATCTCTCACGTACATTCATATCTGCTCGATGCGTATCTAAATGTAAACTTACTGTTTCTGTTAATATATTGTTTTGACTCAATTCCTCTCTTTGTGTTTTTATTTCTGGCCCTAACAAGGCCACAATATATATATATATATATATATATATATATATATATAAACCTAGCAAGGTTTCGGCTAAGCGGATTGGCAGGGAAGACTATGTCTGCTCTACTTACTGTAATGAGCACTTTATTTAGTTATTTTGGTTATTCGTATCGGGTTTTTTTTTCTTTGGAAATCGGATGAAAACTGTGAAAATGCATAAACAACATCCGATCACACAGACACATACTGACACACACTTTGAGAATTATATATATATATATAGATTTATTTTACATTCAACATCATCACTTGATAAGACACTGAGAGTGTTGAAACAAAATGGCTATTTTTGTAGTGATTTTATAACATATTTTATAAATTTTTTTAAAATAAAGAATTATATATATATATATATAGACCTACGTCTGCTCTACTTACTTTATTTAGTTATTTTGCTTACTAGTATCGTTTTTTTTTTCTTTGGGCTTTGGACTCGTATGCTTGACGATTATTTTCGGCTAACGTACATGTTTTTGGCTCTTTCTTTTTTTATACCATTTTTTCCCCTTCGGTATTGGTTTGGTTATTTGGAAATCAAGACACCGAAGGTTTCCAGAACGAGTATAATTTCTTATATTTATAAGATTACTACTACTACCTACTAATATATATATATATATATATATATATATATATATATATATATATATATATATATATATTCTCCAGATCGCGCCCTTTATGTATTTTTTATCTTAGAAAAATCACATCCCAGTTGAAAGCAACAAGATCTCAAGATGTTGAGAAAATCCAAGAGAATACCACGAGGTAGCTGCTCGCTAACTCCGAAAAGGAGTTCTAGGAATGCGTCCATCAATGGAAAACGAAGCTGGATAAAGTGTGTAGTTTCGGAAGGGGGCTATTTCGAAGGAGATTAAATGCTGAATTGATATGTGTTCTAGTATTCTATTTATAACACTATCAAAGTTTAAAGTGGCAAAATCCGTCAGATTAATAAATAAAATCCAATAAAATCCACTATTCTTTAGAAAATTGATTTGTTTACGTACTTGGCAGATATTAAATTTTGATGAATCTATGGTAAGAAGGATTTCGCTCAAAGGCATGATTCAAACTTGCGTGATCGGCAAATGCCATACGTGGCTGAGTCGGTCTATAGCCCGTCGGATCTAACGAGTGTTCTCTCTGCACATTGGGGTGCAGGTGAGAGCATATTTTTCTTTGATAAGATTTCTCGAATGTTCAGGTCGGTAGAAGAAATTAAAAAAAAAACATACTGTTTGATAAATAAACGCAACGTCTCTTCGAATATGAGTATACACTAAAAATAACATTTAAAGAGATAAAAACTGTCCGATAAATAAATAAAAAAAATAATTATTTCTTTAGAAATTGCCATCTATCTATCTATCTATCTATCTATCTATCTATCTATCTATGTCTCCTACTGGATCTATCTATCTATCTATCTATCTATCTATCTATCTATCTATCTATCTATCTCAGTCCGTTCACATCTATTTCGGACTGTTCATTTCTCTCTCTCTCTCTCTCTCTCTCTATCTATCTATCTATCTCTATCTGTCTATCTATCTATCTATCTCAGTCAGTACATATCTATCTATCTATCTATCTATCTATCTATCTATCTCAGACTGTACATATCTATTCATACATATTTATATATCTATCTTAGCCTGTTAATATCTATCTCTATATCTATTTTAGTCTGTTCATATCTATCTATCTATCTATCTATCTATCTATCTATCTATCTATCTATCTATTTCAGTCTCTTCATATCTATCTATCTATCTATCTATCTATCTATCTATCTATCTTAGCCTGTTTATATCTATCTGTCCCAGTTTCTTCATTATCTATCTCAGTCTGTTTACATCTATCTATCTATCTATCTATCTATCTATCTATCTATCTATCTATCTATCTGATTTTGTTAATCTCTCTATCTCTCTCTTGTTTTCATTTTCCGTTTATCCAAGGATTATTCTCAACTTCAAAATAAAACTCGTCACAGGAATTTTTTTGTATTTTATTTGCAATGTCCATCTTTTTTTTTTCAAATTCACAAACTGGCCATAGGGCAAAACCTCTGAGTCTTATTGACCTCGAAGCTTGTTGAACTTCACGTCTTCGCCCCGACGCTCCTTTTGCCGGCCTTCAGGCATTTCTCCTTCCACAGGCGTCAACAAGCTTTTCATCAAGCCGAGAGCACCTGACGCTCTCTCTCTCTCTCTCTCTCTCTCTCTGGCTGGCCAAGAGAACTAATGAACAGAAAAATTAAGTGACCGATCGATTGGACGCAGAAATACTTCACTATAGAGAAAGAGAACGTTTAGCAATGTTGCCTCAAGAACAGCAACCGGCAATTGGGGGGGGGAGGGTTCCTCTTGTTATGACGTCAAAAAGAAATTGTTTTTTTGTGAGGTGAACGAGGACACCATGTTAATATTTTACCAGAAATACCCCTGAAAATGTCATGGTTTTCCTATTTCAACTTTCTGAAGAATCTTAATTCTTCAATTAATCATTGAATAAGCTCATGGCGAGTTCTACGACAATACAATAATGTAGGAGGGGGGGGGGTTATAACTCTTTTTAAATAATTATAAAGCCCTTAAAATTCATATATACAAAAAATACTCGTAAAAATGAGAAACTCCTAGATGTGGAAAGAACAAATCGTATTTATTACCTGGTTATGTGATGTTGGAAACACGAGACACTAAGATTGAGTAAAATTATGAGTTTGCTGTCAAAAGTAGATTAAATATGGATCAGAATCTGACAGAAGGATAAAATAAATAATAAGTATGTTATAATAAGTATTATAGGAGATGAAATTTTCGTTGACGCACATGTTAACGACCTGTCCTTGTGAACTGCTTGTCCAATAATGAGAATGTCACGTGTTTTTATGTGTTGAGGCGAAAAGTGGTGTCGATTCCCATTGGTTTAGAATGAACGAATTAAGGATAATTATAATTGTTTTATTTATTTTATTTTTTTTTACACCATAATTAATTTTTATACATTGATTTATGGACACAACGCCGTGACAGTATAATTATTTTTTATTAATGTATTTAATTATGGACACGACAGATTTAAAAAACAAAAAACAAAATTGTGAGTTTGGGGTTAAATGTAGATCAAATATGGATCGGAATCTAACAGAAGGATAAGAAAAGAATAAGTAAAATGTATGCAGTCTTTCTCCTATGTTTTTTTTTTTTTTATAGATGTGTGTAATGAGTGTCCAGATAATTTAGATGAAATAATACAAGAAGTGTCTGGGGTTTTCTTACTTTGAATTTTTGTTGAGTGCTTTTAAAAGATAAATATTGCTATTATGGCCTGAAAAAGAAAAAGGTGATGAAATCTTCGTCGACGCAGGTGTTAACGACGTGTTCATGTGAACTGCTTGTCCGATAGTAAGAATGACACATGTTTGTGTGTGTAGACGAGAAAAGTGGGGTCCACTCTCATTGGTTTAGAATGAGTGAATTAATGATAATTTTAATTGTTATAGTTATTTGATTATAATTAATTTTGATTTTCTTTTTATGTACACGATTCCGTGATAATATAATTATTATTTTCTTAGTGTGTTTCTTGATGGACACGGCAATATATACATATATACATATATATATATATATATATATATATATATATATATATATATATATATATATATATATATATATAACAAAGTCATTATAACATACATACATATATATATATATATATATATGTATGTATATATATATATATATATATATATATATATATATATATATATATGTATGTATATGGCATAATGACTTTGTTATATATATATATATATATATATATATATATATATATATATATATGGCATAATGTCTTTTGTTGCGTTTGATTTTATTCCAGCTAAAGATTTCATTATCTATATATGTATTAAGTCTTTCCAGCCCTCCCTCTGTAAACAATGTTATCAGCCTTTGATGATTATATATTGAAGATATATAGTAACGTGTCCTTAGCGCTTTTTATTTTATTCGGCCTACACATTTTTTCGTCCACCATAGAGGCCTGACGGGAGAGGAACGACAGAGAGCAATCATTTTTTGTCCTTTTCTGCTGTTTTCTCTTTTACCACGTTACAGTAATTACAATTAACTAGAAAGACAGGTAAGAATTTCATGGTTTTTCTATTTGAATTTTCTGGTGAATCTTAATACTTCAGTGAATGACTGAGTAAGCTGATGGCGAGTTCTACGACAATAAATTCTTCCTAGAACAGACTGTGATAGATAGATAGATAGATAGATAGATAGCGTGAGATAATGAATAGATTGAGATAGATAGATAGATGAATAAAATGAGGTAGACAGATAGATAGACAGACTGACAGATAATGAATAGTCTGAGATAGATATAGATAGATGATGAAAAAAAGAGAGAAAGATAGAGTTATTAAGAGGGAAAGAAAAAGAAAGATAGAAAGAGAGGGAGATAGAAATACAGAGAGAATGCGAAAGTAAGATAGAAAGAGAGAGGTAGAAAGGAGAGATAGAAAGAGAGAAAGAGAGAGAAAAATTTGAAATTTCTCATGAATCTTAACTCAGCCATTAACTGAAGAATTCTTCAGTTAATGGCTGATTAAGTTGATGACGAATTCTACCACACTAAAATTGGATCGCATCGTTAAATATTTGAGCTTAACAACTTTAACGAAATATTGCAATAACAATAAAAAATGAATGCTGATCGTTATTTTAAGAAGTTGGTGCCAATAAAATTGACACTTCTTTCTTTTTTCTTTCTTTCTTTTTTCCTTTATTTCTTTTTTTCTATTTTCTTTCTTTCTTTCTTTCTTTCTTTCTTTCTTTCTTTCTCAGTCTTTCTTTATTTTCTCTTTCTCAGTCTTTCTTTGTTTTGTTTTTTTTGTTTCGTTCTTTTCTTCCTTCTCGCTTTCTCCCAGGCAGATGTTTTCTATTTTTCGTTATTTTAAGAAGTAAGGGGGTACAAATGAAAAAAATTTAAGATTGACACCTTTTTCTATTTCACTGAAACTGCCGTTAAACTTTCTTTTTTTTTTCTTTCTTTCTTTCCCTGAAACCAAGTAGTGTCTTTTCCCCTATTTCCACGCATAGCCGTATAGTCCTTTATTTATGAGGTATTGGCAAGAGACATTAAACACTTTTATCTTTCACCATTTCGTTCTTTCTTTATAGCCAAATCCCCTGTCTTTTAACAATGATTTTAAAACAATTCAGAAGACGATGTTTTTTTTTTTTAAATTTAATTTATGGTAATTGGATTTTTGGCGATTTCTTTGCTACTGTGCGTCTGAGAAGTGACCGTTTTATTGATCGCCATTGTTTCTCGGCTTTTCTTTGTTAAGATCAAAGTGTAGTATCTGTCCTTTCCATCTTTATCTAGTTTTCAACCACAATCCCTGTAGACTGGAAATGTGACCAAGAAACATGTATGTCGGAATAAAAGCTGATATTTAAAAGTTAAGTAATCTTTTCATAATATATCGTATATATATATATATATATATATATATCACACACAGATATATATATATATTTATGACTGTGTGTGTGTGTGTGTGTGTTTGTGTGTGTGTGAAAAATATATAGAAAATAGGAAAGAACTCGTTAGGTAAATAATCCAATTATATTGAAGTTTTCGCCCCATGTTTTGAAACATGGGAACTCTTATGTAGCGTGTTGGAATCATATTTTTAAATAAATAATTATATATATATATATATATATATATATATATATATATATATATATATATATATATATATATATATAAGAACAGAATGAGATAGATAGATAGATAGATAGATAGACAGACAGACAGATAGATAAGTAATGGACATATTGAAATAGATAATCAACAGAACCAAATATATAGATAGATAATAAACATGAAATATATATATATTTATTTTTACAGGGTGCAATGGGTAAATTGTTGCCATTTTATATTTTTAATTTCGCGCATGCGCATTGTTTGTTTTTTGATTGTGTCGGATCAGTTGGGCACCGTCTGTGAGAAAAAGAGCACCATGACGTAATTCACTCCCCCAGAAATTTGGAAACTGTATGCCATACTCCTTGGCATTCGCGCCAGAAGCTCCAATACAATAATTTCAGAGTGTTTGGGCGTTAATCTGAGGACAGTGCAGAAGATTCGGAAAGAGTTGGATGATGAAGCTAAAGCAGTTCGGAAAACTCACTCTGATTGTCCGGATAAGAAGAGAATTGCCAAAATTTGTTGGTGAGGGCCTCAGGTTCAACACGGGGTCCTACCTTGGGCAGTTTGTGCTGCCCTGGGTTAAGAGGACTGCTGCTGGAAGACCCAATGTTACAAGAAGAACGCAGTCATGGCTGTCAGACAATTTCTGTGTCCACGTCACCCGTTGCAACTGGTCTCCTAACTCTCTAGATTGCAACCCGCTTGATTATTAAGGAGGCACGGTGGAGTAATGGATAGCGGCATGGATTGAGGAATCGGAGAGCCGAGTTCGAATTCCAGTCGAATCCATTACATTCACTTACGTGCTAACACCCTTGTGAAAGGTGTGAATCCTCTATCTTCTTCCTCCAGCTATGGGTAAATAGCAGGACAGACCGGTCTAGTAGAAGGAAAACTATGAATTCAAACCTGCTCTTAGAGGAGGGTGAATGAAGTCTCTCTGAGCCTTGGTTGACAATCCACTTAGTGATGGTGTCACGATAAAAAACACCCTTGATAGCCCTAGCGAAGCATCAAGAATTCAGCTATTTGACAAGATTATGAACTACACCAATCAAAGTATTGGTGAGTTCAATCTCGGCTGATGCCGCAAGAAGAAGATGTGTGGGGCGCAGGAAGAAAACTACTTGTAACACCAAAGATGAACTGAAGGCAAAGATTATGGCAGCATTCACCAACTTAAAAAAGAAGACCGCCCGGAAGAGTTGCAGATTTGGATGTCGTCTGGTTGAAGCCAATGGAGATTTTATTGAATATATTTACTCTTTAGTATTTCAAGCTATATCTGTTAAAATAGATGTGAGTATTATTTACATTTTTGAGTAATTTAGATGACAATCTAGGAATCGCACCCTGTATATGCAAGACTTGGTGGAAGTCTTGATATCTTTTACCCAGCGATGCACTAACCACGCCCCACACCTCTAGGTTGAGCTGACCTTAGCTTATTTCTCTCTAGATTGAATAAATATGAAATTTCCCACGTATGTTTCTGAAAAAAAATGTCAATAACGTAAAATAAAAATAAATAACAATTTTAGGAAAATATTTCAAGAAAGAACTTCATAAAAATATGGAACAAGTTCACAAAGAACAGACTGAAATATAATTTGAGATACTAATGATTTAGGGATAATTAACACATATCCGGGGGGGGAGGTAGAATTGGATAAACAAGAAATTATAAATTTGATATAATATGGGGGATCAGTTCTACATTGAAATTAATATATAAACTGATCCCTCACTTTTTTTGTAGAGAATGCACCATGCCTGTGTAGTTTCTATACATTTATTTTGTAGAGAATGCAGATCAATCTAAGACATGCCTGTGTAGCTAATCAGTATTACATTGATTGATTGATTCGTTTTCTACAACTTATCAACAACCAAAACCAATTATAAACTGTGAGGGATCAATTCTACACTGCAATCAATATATGAAATGATCCCTCACTTTGTGAACCCTATTGTTTATATATGTTTATATTCCAGAGAATGTAAATAAATCTAAAAGACATGCCTGTGCAGCTAATCAGTATTTCATTGATTGAATGATTTTTTTTCTACTTTATCAATAACAACAAATCATAATAGTGGATATAAAGTAAATAAATCTAAAAAGGGATCAATTCTATATCAATAACCAATATATGAACTGATCCTCACTTTGAACTGATCCCACTTCCTATACATTTTCTATATATTTATATTCCAGAGAATGTAAAAAGACATGCCTGTGTAGCTAATCAGTATTTCATTGATTGAATGATTTTTTTTACGGCTTATCAACACCCAACAAATCATAAGTGAATATAAATCATATAAATCATTACAATCAATATATGAATATGAACTGATCCCTCATTTTGTGGCCACTATAGTTTCTATACATCTATATTCCAGAGAATGCAAATAAATCTAAAAGACATGCCTGTGTAGCTAATGAGTATTTCATTGATTGATTGATTCGTTTTCTACAGCTTATCAACAACCAAGAAATTATAAGTGGGGGATCAATTCTACATTACAATCAATATATGAACTGATCCCTCACTTTGTGGCCGCTGTTGTTTATATACGTTTATATTCCAGAGAATGTAAATAAATCTAAAAGATATGCCTGTGCAGCTAATCAGTATTTCATTGATTGAATGATTTTTTTACGGCTTTATCAATAACCAACAAATCATAAGTGGATTTAAAGTGGGGGATCAATTCTATATTACAACCAATATATGAACTGATCCCTCACTTTGTAGCCACTTGTTTTTATATATTTATATTCCAGAGAATGTAAAAAGACATGCCTGTGTAGCTAATGAGTATTTCATTGATTGAATGATTTTTTTTACGGCTTATCAACACCCAAAAAATCATAAGTGGATATAAATCATATAAATCATTACAATCAATATATGAACTGATCCCTCATTTTGTGGCCACTATAGTTTCTATACATCTATATTCCAGAGAATGCAAATAAATCTAAAAGACATGCCTGTGTAGCGAATCTGTATTTAATTAATTGATTGATTCATTTTCTGCGGCTTATCAACAACCAAGAAATTATGTGGACATAAAGTGGGGGATCAATTCTACATTACAATCAATATATGAAATGATCCCTCACTTTGTGGCCACTATAGTTTCTATATATTTATATTCCAGAGAATGTAAATAAATCTAAAAGATATGCCTGTGCAGCTAATCAGTATTTCCTTGGGGGCTATTTAAAGTCAGAAAATAATTTTAGATTTTAAGAATTTTGTAGCAGGGTGATAATAATAAATTAGCGATACAGGTTTTACTAATTAACCCATAGTTGCGGGGAGAGGACCTGTATTTTTACCTGATCAATTCTTTATTGCAATCACTACATAATCCGATCCCTCATTTTGTGGAGTCATTACTTTCTATACGTTTACATTAATTTTAAATTGCCAGAATTATTTTGGCGATAGTAATACTTTAGTGACACAAGTTTTACTAATTAACCCACAGCTGGGGGGAAGAGGTAGATTCATATCTTTCCCAAAATTATTTGCTCGTAAGCGAATATAACGAGCGCAACGGGACTAAGAACTCGGCTGTACGATTAAAAATTCCGAACCATTATCTATTTCACCACTCTCACATCCAAGCTTACATCACCTGGCATTCCTAAGCGGTCACCCGTCTAGGTACTAACCAGGTTCAACGTTGCTGAATTTCAGTGATCATACGGGAACCGCTGTTTCAAAGTGATGTGGTCGAAAGCCCCCAAACTAGGCGATAATGCAACTAGGACGCAAGGGATTACGTTTCCTTCCTTTTGAAGGTGGGCATCACTGGCCGGAGCCTGAAGTGTGATTCAGGTCATCTCCAGATCACAGCTTAACAGACATCGAGTTGGATCTAGTCAAGGTCCCAAATAAAAGTTAAAAGTTATCCTTGCAACGCTATGTTACTTCCGACGTGAAACACCTGTTTACCTTCCATTCTGCGTCATTGATAATGATCTTTCATCAACCATCTTCCTGATGTCATCAGTTCCCAAGTAGGCATCTACACAGACAGTATTACTATTTACTCCTGACTCAATAGTAAATCCGGAATCGCTAACAAAAACCAACCTGGTCGTTGGCCTCGAAAAGGACCTCCAATCTGTGGTTAACTGGGGCAGGAAATGGCTTGTAAACGTTAATGCCTCCAAAACGAAACTGTTCTCATTTACTCAGCATTACTCCCTGTCTCCTATTAGAATGGCTGATTCCCAACTGCTCGAAAGCGCCTCGTTACGCCTGCTTGGTCTCATGCTGTCCGCTGACATGAGGTGGAATAAATACATTGAATCTATAGCTTCATCTACCGCAAGGGAAGTTGGTTCCCTGTGTCGCGCCAGAAGGTTTTTCTCGCCCGAGTCCATCTTTCAAATCAACCATTCGTCCTTGCATTGAATACTGCTGCCATATATGGTCTGGTGCCCTAGCTGTTCATCTCGTTCGTGGTCCTCGACAAAATCCACTGACGGATATGCAATGCGATAGGTCCTGATCTGGCATCTCGTCTACAGTCACTTTCTCAGAGATGTGCTGTGGCTTCCCTCTGTCTTTTCTACAAATATTTTCATGGCAACTGCTCTGACGAGCTAATTTCACAGGTTCCTAATCTGCATGAATTTAAGCGTGCTACTAGGTTGGCATCTCGGTCCCACCCTTTCACAGTCGAAACGGTTAGATGTAGCCGTCTCGTCTACTCCAACAGCTGCTTCTCTCACACTTCCCGGCAGTGGAACTCCCTTCCTCTTACTTGCTTCCCTGATAGCTATAATCTTCAAATATTCAAATATAATGTCAATCGATATCTTCTAGTGCCTTGAACTTGATACCGTCCTTCTCTTAATCTTTTTCTAAACCACTCCTCTTTACTCTTGCTCTCACTCTTTGTAAACCCTTGAGTGCTTGTGGCGCTTCTGCCTTGCTTCTGCCTTACACTTGCCTTACACTTTCTCATGCTCTATGCAGGATTTGGTTGATAATGTATTTCCTTGTGTGCGCCTGTGTTCGTCTAGTAGGCATTTTGTTTTCTGTCTGCTAATGTTGATTGGGGGATGTTTGGTGAGGGAGTGAAAGAATTTAGGTTACACCGGTTGTGGTCGTGAGTAATCCGATCTTAGATTTATTTAAGTATGGATTTTATAAAAGTTAGTGATATAATAAAATGCGTCTGATATGAAGAAATCCTGATAGTACAAAAATAAAACAAAAATACCAGAATAAATAAAAGCAAAATATGTTAAATTTATAAACATTTCCTATTTGTTCCTTATCGTATGTTTTATATATATATATATATATATATATATATATATATATATATATATATATATATATAACATTTACATTAAACATTGCAAACTTACATGTTCTAATGTAAGAGTGTATAATAAATATTTATTGCTCTACTGTATTGAGCCCTGTTTTAAATTAATGCGTTAAATGTTGTAATTTTATTCTTTGTTCTTTACATTTTGATATATACATATATATATATATATATATATATATATATATATATATATATATATAGAGAGAGAGAGAGAGAGAGAGAGAGAGAGAGAGTTGTACAGACTTAGACTCATAGATAGATATAAATATTTAGATTTGTTACGTATCTAATTATTATCCACAATGAAATGGAGACGCTTTCGAATCCTATGAAGACATATACACAGATATGAATAAACTGAGATGTTCACCAATGTCTTCAATGTGATAGGATGAGATCAAGGTAGATTTTAATTTGGGTTGCCTATACGCGTAATATATATATATATATATATATATATATATATATATATATATATATATAATTATTTATGTAAAAATATGATTCGCACGCTACATAAGAGTTCCCATGTTTCAAAACAAGAGCCGAAAACTTCAATATAATTATTTGAATTAAATTGAATTAAAGTACTAAGCTCTGTTCCATCTTCAAGCGAAATATTTTTTTTTGGAATAACTTATTCCTGAAATTTACGTGTTTTATAAGCATATTCATTATTGAAATTAAAATTACTATGGTAACGGCTAGAGCAATTGTTTAAAGAAAAGGGGCTTAAGGGTTAATAATCTGTATCAATATTTCAGTTACATTCAAAGACGTCAAGTCAGGGTAAGGTTGGGGTGTCTTAATTTAAAAAAAAATTTCGCTTGAAGATGGAACAGAACTTTGTACTTTAATTCAAATAATTATATTGAAGTTTTCGACTCTTGTTTTGAAACATGAGAACTCTTATGTAGCGTTGGAATCATATTTTTTAAATAAATAATTATATTTAGGCTCTACTTTTGTATCGAGAACTATTTTTTTTAAATAATAACAAAAATGCTAAAGAACTCTGGATTATTTATCTAACGAGTTCTTTCCTATTTTCTATATATTTTTACACATACACACACACAAATATATATTATATAGTGGACAAAGTCCGACAATTATTTTGAGACATTTTTTTTATATTTATTCGTTCTTTTTATGGATACAAATATTTAAGTAAATGCTCTGTTTATAATAAACAGTATTAACACCAGTTACCGGCCTGAATGTCCGAGAAATTTTCATAGAAAATATTCGTCCTCCAATAGGAATCGAACCTGTATCCTATACGGAACCGTCATATATCCTGACGTACTGATTGAGCCATAGAGGAGCGTTTCGGTTAGCAAAGTCGATTTTACTGTTTTTTAAACTACAATTCTCCATGATTTTCTCTTGTACATTCCTATCTGCTCGATGCGTATCCAAATGTAAACAAATGACGTCACACATTATGAAATGAACAAAGTCCAACAATTGTTCTAACACATTGTCTTATTAAATAATTGTCGGACTTTTTTCCATTTTATAATGTGTGACGTCATTTTATTTACATTTGGATACGCATGGAGCAGATAGGAATGATATAGACAGAAATAATTCAGTAAATAAAAAATAAAAAAAAGATTTACTATGATTAATCTTATTTGTTGTAAAAAGAAAGTTTTCACTTCTCGTTTGATTTTATTTGGTAAAAAAAAAGCAGTTATGTAATTAAAATTTAATCATGAAATATTGCCACGCTTTCGAATTAATTATAAAGTCCGAATTTATATGATTAGATTCCAGCATTAAGAAACACATAAGGGGTGATGTGATTCCAAATCAAAATAACAATCAACCAACAGAAAAATAAAACATTTCCATAAAGAATACATTTTTGAGATGTTTCAAGAAAAAAATACAAAAAAAAAAAAAATTAGTCCAAAGCCGTCAATAATTATCTTAAATTCTTCAATGTTAAGATAAATCAGTATTTAATTAGAACCACAAATAAATACTTAACAAAAACAAGGAAATAAAAACTAGCCAAAGATAACTATTTTAGTGAATACCTTTTTAGTAGCGCCGCTTAACGTTTGATAGCCTGGGATAGTCTTTCCACTTCCTGTCAAGCTGAGAACATTAGCCTGAGAAGGTGCAATGAGTCCCTTTCCTGGAGGATAGCATCAGCCATATTGGAAGGCGTTATGGGATTTCTCATTTTAGGGCGTTAAATTTAACCAGGCATCTTTTGCCCCAATTAACAATTGGATGTCGTTTAGGACATCGGCTGGCATTTTGACCTTGTCGAACTGATGAGACTTACAATCGAGACAAGAATAAATGATTGTGTTATTAGCGTTGATGCCACCGGGAAGGTCATTAATGAAAACTAAAAAGAAATTATGATCAAGAGTGAAGTCCCGGGGGACACCGGCGTTAGCACGGGATGATCTAGACGAGTGGCCATTCAGGATAACTTTCATTTCGCGATTTGATAGGAAAGACTGCAACGATTCAAAAGATTTGTCCGGAGACACCGCAACTTTTCAGCTTGTGGAGAAGACCTGAATGCCAGAACCTGTCAAAGACTTTCGAAATATCCAAATCTACAACCCGGGCTTCACCGTTTTTATCTGGAGCATAAATTCTTTCCGCAATTATCGTCAGCAGCTGAGCTGGAGAAACAAAAGCAAAATTGCTTTTCTCGAGAAAAAAAAAAAAAAGGATCTGCGATGAGAGATTCTTAACTAATTCAGCGCAGATAACCTTGCACAAAATATGCATCCGTCTGTTCTCTCCCCAGCTATGGGTTAATTAGTAAGACTTGTATCACTACTATCTAAAAAAGATCTTACAATCTAAAAATATTTTCTGGCTTTAAATAACCTGAAAAGGGTTGATGAACCGTAAAAACGAATCAATCGATCAATCAATAAATTAGATTCAGCATGGGGTGTAACATATTTAGCGTCTGGTATCATTGGAAGGACAGTGAGTGCTAGGTAACCAATTTATGGTAAATGTCTTTGAGAAAATAAGTGAAAGGGTTATTATTATTATTATCATTATTATTTCAAGCGATTGAGGGCGTTCGTGCAGACAATTAGATCTTTGTTAGCATTACTATAAACAAGAAGCAAGAAGATTTTTGGCGATTTTTTAAAATTAGGTACTTCCGTTCTGCCATAAATAGTTAGATATCAACAGAGGCATAAGATTTTTATTCATATTTCCTTTTCTAGGAGTGAGAGAGAGAGAGAGAGAGAGAGAGAGAGAGAGAGAGAGACAGACAGACAGACAGACAGACAGACAGACAGATGTGAGCACACTGACATAGAGACAGATAGAGAAAGAGGAAATGAGAGAGAAGTAATAGAGACTGATAGAGAATTGAAAAGAAAAGAATAG